GTGGATCATTTCTTTTACTTTCTCGTCGTTTTATCCAGACTGGCCTCAACGCATCTTCTCTTGTGTATGATGTCGGGAACACGACATCAGATAGATGTTTTTCTGCCTACGTTCGGAGCGATTTATGGAGTGCGCGGAGAAAATGTCGTGTCGGTTTAAGCCATGACCCTTATATAAATTAAGATATTTGAGTTGTTCATTTAAATGCCATCTATAAAACGAATGGCAATAACATAAAATGAAACATAATAAACTATACTGACTGTGGCTAGTTATGCTGTATCACAGTTCTTAATCATCAAACTGCCTAGTTTTGATGCATATAGTCCACGGTGGGCGAGTTCTCATGCTCTTCATCTCGTATGCTAGCTTGCTTGCTTGCTTGCTGAATTGATTGATTGCTTGTACCTTGCTTTTTTGGCTCCTGCTTATACGAAGGCAAGTCAAGACAAATTTCTTGAATATGTGGCGCACACCATCGCAGCGAGATTGGCCCACACATGTGTCGCGCAATGGCTTCGTCTTCTTTTTCTTCTCTAGCTTTCTAGAAAAAAAAAGAGGAGGAAAACTTTATTACCATCTGTCATTTAGAACTGAAAGTCCTATGTTTGCGGTTGTAGTTAAGCTGCAGACTGAAAGCTCAAATAGCGAACTTTGTTAGACACATCATTGTTGAGATCTAAGAGAGAACGGACCCGAAGAAAGTATAAAGGATGTTCTTAGAACTGATTGCAATGTAAGTGGTAAGAAAGACGAGTGGACGGTAAGAGTCCTGGCGCGATCCCCCGTGGTGGGTTGCGCCAGGACTCTGAGGAACAACCAACCAACCAACCTACAGTCGCCAGAGACCGATGCTCTACTGCTAAGCTACGATGGCGGTCATTCCTCTGTCCACTTTGTAGACTATCATCATCGTGAGCATAACTAACAGTTCTTTATAAAGTGGACAGAGGGATATGACCGCCACCGTAGCTCAGTGGTGTGTGCATTCAAAGGTGGGAGCGTCAGTCGCTGCCAGTAGCTATTAAGGCGAGTGTGCAATGCTTTTTTTTCCCTGTTGGTGTCACGTAGCACGTGATCTTATCACAAGCTGGTACCTGACCAATGATTCCCCGGGACACCAAGAGTCGCCGCAACAAGCAGGTCTACGAACATAGGGTGACTCCTTAGTGTGAAACTACTTTGAAAATAATAAAAAAAAGACGCTGTACGAATATGACTTAGTGGGCAGGCTTGCTCAACGCATATAACACGCGTTGTAGAAGCTCATAAAATCGCGCCCTGTGCCAAACATTTGAATTCTGCAACGAGTTGCTGTTTTAAAGGCACATCCACTAAAGCGCGTTGAGACATATTTACTTATCATCATCTGCAAAAGCGTCAACAGCGTGAACAGCTCTGTAAGTTCGCAGGTCGTTTAGTGGACGCGTAGTGGGCCCAATTAACTGATTTGTACAATCTTAGCAGTGACTTTGCTTGGCTATACCAGGATATTCGTACGGACAGATGGACAGACAGACGAACAGGACGTACGCACTGATGGATAGGTGGACAGACGACGAGCAAGCGAGCTCACGCGAGTCAACCGTCAGTACACGTCACTTTAGTATTCAGAAACGCTGCTCGACTCGACTTTCGCCCTTCACTTGACAGAGCTGAGCACAGCGCCGCTGCTCGGCTGAAAATGACGCTGCGCTGCTCGAGAATCGCACCACATTATCGCTGATATGCAGTGACTTGCCGTGACGAGAGAGGGCGCTTCCGTCGACTTTCTCTATAACAGTGACTTCAGTGGTCTACAGGCTGGCGATGCAGATTATAAAGGAAAGACTGCAGGCGTGGATAGAGAATGAGGGGGTGCTGGGGGAACTGCAGAATGGATTTCGGAAACACAGGAGGTTGGAAGACAATCTGTTCTCACTGACGCAGTGCATCGAAATAGCAGAAATGGAACACAGGCCCCTGTGGCTAGCATTTTTGGATATCAAGAGAGCGTACGATAGCGTGGTTCAAGAGGAATTGTGGGGAATACTGGACACACTAGGCGTGGAACATGTAGTCACTAATCTTTTAAAGGGTATATATAAAGGTAACAAGGTAGTTATAAAGTGGGAAAAACAGGTATCGAAGCCTGCAGAGGTAAAACGGGGGCTTAGGCAGGGGTGCCCCCTGTCACCCTTATTATTCATGATGTACCTACAAGGATTAGAGGCAAAATTAGAAGGAAGTGGACTGGGCTTCAACCTCTCTTTAGTCAAACAAGGAAAACTTATTGATCAGGCACTACCAGCATTAATGTACGCAGATGATATAGTGCTAATGGCCAACAACAAGGAAGATTTGCAGAGATTGATGGACATCTGCGGTAATGAGGGAGATAGGTTAGATTTCAGCTTCAGTAAGGAAAAATCAGCAGTCATGATTTTCAATGACAACGAAGGTAGTGAGCTTAGAATACAGGAGGTCACGCTAGAGATAACAGATAAATACAAATATCTGGGCGTATGGATAAGCAATGGGACCGAGTATCTGAGGGAACACGAAATATACGTGACGACTAAAGGTAACAGGAATGCAGCAGTCATGAAAAATAGGGCACTGTGGAATTACAATAGGTATGATGTTGTGAGAGGAATATGGAAAGGGGTCATGGTTCCTGGGCTGACGTTCGGCAAAGCGGTCTTGTGCATGAGATCAGAAGTTCAAGCAAGATTAGAAATTAAGCAACGTGGAATAGGTAGGCTTGCTTTAGGAGCTCACGGGAATACACCAAATCAGGGAGTACAAGGTGATATGGGATGGACATCATTTGAGGGCAGGGAAGCTAGCAGCAAGATAAAATTTGAGAAGCGATTGAGAGAAATGGGGGAAGAGCGTTGGGCTAGGAAGGTTTTCAGCTACTTGTACATGAAGAATGTCGATACAAAATGGAGGAAGCGAACCAGGAAGTTGACTGGTAAATACTTAGAAAACAGCGGGTGGTCAAACCAAAAAGAACTATCGGTTAAGAAGAAAGTGAAGGAAACGGAGACTGACATGTGGAGAATGGGCATGATTAAGAAGTCCGAACTAGAGGTCTATCGAACGTTTAAGCAGGAAATTGCCAAGGAAAGAATCTATGATAATACTCGGGGTAGTTCTCTACTGTTTGAGGCCAGAACGGGAGTACTGCGAACCAAGACATATCGGGCCAAATACGAAGGGGTAGACACAGTATGCAGTGCGTGTGGAGAGGAAGAAGAAACTGCCGAACACTTGATAATGTTCTGTAAAGGGCTTTACCCTATAGTTCAGGATGATGGCGCAGAGTTTTTCAAAGCACTGGGGTTTAGGGACCGGGAGGGCAAAATAAACTTTAAGCGGGTAGACTTCACTATAGAAGGAGGTTGTCTGATTGGTGGCTAAAGTCAAGGCGCGAGTGAAAATTAAACTCTTCACTGCAAAGTACGAATCCTCAAACTCTTTTTTAAGGAAAAAAAATATAGTTTTTGGTTCATTATATATTACGGCTTGGTGGCGCTAGCCACCGCCCGATCTAAAGGGTACAGCCATATCCATCCATCCATCCATCTAGTGAAGGTAAAGCGTTGAGTGGAGGGACGTTCGAGAATACGGGAATAGGAGTTTCCACGCCTCCTGCGGCACTCGAGCTGTGTGACGACACTGCTCCCCGGGCATGCGCAACACTGCTCTTGATAAGCCTCGCGAGACTGCTCGACCTTGGCCAGTGTAGCTTACGCTTCAAAAGAAATATTTTGGCGTTGTAGGCACTTCGCAACTGTGCTTGTAGTAGGCATTCTTTATAGGACAGTTTGAAACGGCCGATGTTACGCTTACAGGCGATCGTCTTCTTGTGACGTGGTTGAGGCATGCATCGAAAACCGAAGCGAAGCTAGCATTTGAGAAGACTGCGCACGGGGCCCCATTACGCGTTTGCGGACGCCCAAGCATCGTCGAAGTTTTTTGTTTTGTTTTTGTTCGCTGTTCCACAATGAGTTCATACCAAATGGTCCGGCTTTCTTTTCAACCATTCACCGTTGCGACGCGGGGTTTTCTGTGCAATTGACATTAGGTCGTGTGTTTGCTTGAACGCCATCGTCCGACGCTGAGTTCCTTTGAAAAATGGCAACCACTCTCCTTCTTCTCCGCCCACTTTCCTTGAGAGGGCTCTGGACAAATACATTCGTGCCTCAGTTTGGCGCTCCGTGTCCTCGCGCTGCGTGCAGTGCAGAGTAATTGGGGTCGTTCGAAACGACGCGAGCTACTGCGACTGTAAAAGCTTCGCCCCTTTTTGCGCATTTAAACGGGGAATGTGTACTTATTTACTGCTGTTTAGCAGTTGCGTGCAGTGCTCCCTACGTTAAGTAGGGGTGCAACCACATATAAACTAGTACTCGTGCATGCACGAACGATATTACGTTTTACGGATTTTTGTTTTCTTCTTCGTTAGGTCTTGAACGTAGAGCTGAAGACCGAGGCTATGCGTGAACTGATTTGGCTATAACGTGGCTCCGTATATACTCGCTAAGCCCGTATGTTCGGTAGGCCCGTATGTCAAGCGTAATGGTTCGACGATTCGCTAAACGTTAGAATATTCGGTATTGTATGCCACAATTATTATTTCGGTTGGGCGAGGTGCAACGTTGAAGGCGTCATTTCATTTCATGAATTGACATGTCTGTCTTATTCACCGCGTCTGGGCAGGTATAAGATACGAAAGAAAGTGATTTCCTCGTCGAACGTCAGCGTGGCTTTTTGTTTTTGTTCTCCGCTAGAGGCCTCCACAATACTACAGGTGGGGTCAGAGGAAGGAAATGGGGGGGGGGGGGGGGGGTCCACGCCCAACTTTTTCCGGCCGGATGTTGTGGAATGGTATGTGTGTATATGTTGGCACACATACCAAGACCCCCTCGTGTGCTTGCGTATATTTCTGCACGATTACGTTGGTGTATGCGGTTATAGCTCCTGTTCTGTTTTGATAGTCATTTTTGCGCCCGCAGGTGAGGCCTTCATGTTCTGGATCCTGGGAAACGCGGGTGGGCATCATAAACGACTATGCACCAAGGACATCGGGTAAGTCCTAATACTCACCACTGGTGCACTAAAAATGAAGGCAATGGTTAGCCCAACAAACGAGTATGTGCCACATAAATATCTGGGGGCTATCAGAAAGTCATCATTATCATATTTTCATTGTGATATCATAATACAATATTTCTTTTGAAAAGCCGATGCTTGGAACATCGCGAAAAGATATGCTTATACCAAGAAAAAGACTACTTTTGGAATGCGCCACTACACAACAATAGCTTTCTCTATTGTATTGACCGAAAACTGAGGGCTAAACTCTCCCACTCACTCCCTCACCACCTAGAGAAGTTATGTAATCGTCTTTGACTGAACGTGGAATACACGAAAAGTGTTCCGAATCGGGCGTACTCGAGTCCAGGTTGTGATAACTGTGGCAGCATAAGGACAGTGCAGCACATACTTCTCGAATGCCCCGCGTACCGCGATGAGAGGCAACTGTTCGAACAAGAAATGGACATGTTCTGCCACGAACAATTACCGCTGCGCGACATATTAGGCCCTGTACGCGGACATTCCAAGCATCGTCGGGTCATTCTTTCATTGATAAATTACCTAGCCAATATTGGCCTTGCCGGAAGGGCTCTAATAATACTAGAGTATAAAGTTGGGCATGTTGCTAAGACATACTTAATCGACGTAGCGCGTTTTAAAACATAGGACAGGGGAAGGGACAAAAGGGAGCGCTTACTTCCAACAAAATTTAATTTCAAGGAGCGTACATATATATGCTCATGAAATTCGAAAACAACAAACAAACAAATGAAAAACCCTCTATTGCCATGCGCTAAACACGTATGATCTCAAAAACGACAATTCTTTATCACAAAGACCGAGAGAAGGATTGCTGAATTTCCCACAACTTGAAAAAGGTTGGAGAGCGGGCCAATGTAAAGGTGGTGTTTTCTGCCCCGAAAAAGCTCTCGTACTTGTGTATGAAAGTTGTTTCACATGCAAAACCGGGATGCTCTAAAAAGCACTTAACACTGTTTGTCACATGCGCGCGGTTTGTAATATCTATCAGATACCTCTTTCATGCGGTAAACACTACATAGGACAAACTGGCAGGTGTAATAATTACCGGCTCCGCGAACACGCTTGCAACGTAAAAAATGGTCGAGATGGTTTTTTGGCACTACATTGCAACACGTGTGGCTGCAAACCACTTTTTCATGGTACGGTAATCATAGGAAAAAAACAGAAATAAAGTGACAAGGGAGATTATTGAAGCAGAAAGGATTAGTAGATTAGGGCTGAACTGCGTCAGCAATCCTTCTCTCGGTCTTTGTGATAAAGAATTGTCGTTTTTGAGATCATAAGTTTTTAGCGCATGGCAATAGAGGGTTTTTCATCTGTTTGTCTGTTGTTTTCGAATTTCATGAGCATGTATATGTACGCTCCTTGAAATAAAATTTTGTTGGAAGTAAGCGCTCCCTTCTGTCCCTTCCCCTGTCCTATGTTTTAAAACGTGCTACGTCGATTAAGTATGTCTGATAATACGACATCTCACATAGGAAAGCCATGATTTACAGCAAAAAATCTCTGTTTTTTTCTAATAAAGAGTCTCTCTCTCTCTCTCTCTCTTAAGCTCGCATGTGCTGCTGAAATTGGGTGAGTCCTACTACACATAGCTTCTACTGAAAAGGAACGCGGCAACAGTTAGCTCAACAATTGGTGTGGGCGTTCCCACGGACACACCTCTGTCACGTCATACTTTGTCGTTATATAATAATAATAATAATAATAATAATAATAATAATAATAATAATAATAATAATAATAATAATAATAATAATAGTAATAATAGTAATAATAATAATAGAAATTTTCGCGTCCCAAAACCGCCATGTGATTATGACAGACGCCGTAGCGGAGCGGCTCCCGAAATTTCGACCATCTCGTGTTCTTTATATAGCGCGCTGACGCCACACAGTGTGCGGGTACAGAACTATATCGCGGGCCTCTACCTTTCAGCCTCCATCTAAATTTGACCGCTGCGGCCGGAATCGAACCCGCGACCTCTGGGTTAGCAGCCGAGCACCGTGGCCGCTGCTCCCCCGAGTCGGACTTTCGTTATAGAAGGTGATGGCTATACTGCCTCTTCGAAGAGCTTAACACGGAGTGTTTATTGATGAAGAGCAGTGATACAACGTGTCTGAAAGACTTGCAAAACACAGGAATGCGATAGGCTGATGAAGATGAGATTTGATGAAGTTTGCAGGTATAACGTGGCAGCAGAAGGCACAAGACCGGGTTGCAGGGGAGATTTTTTTTTCGGTGGGTGATAAAGAGAGAGAGAGAAAGAGAGAGAGGCAAGCAAGATTTTAAAAATTTTATGTGGAGCGGGGGTTGAACGCCAACGGTACGGTCGATTGACTGACGGATCATGGGAGAGGTCCTTGTTATGCAGTGGGTGTAGTCAGGCTGCTGCTGCTGATGATTATGATGATGTTGTTCTTGTTGTTGTTGTTGTTGTTGTTGTTGTTGTTCTTGATGATGATGATGATGATGATGATGATGATAACCATGATGATGAAGACAAGGCCTGCAGCATCGTTCTTTCATAAGTGTGAGCGAAGCAGAACTTGTAGATTTCTTATTAATTTTTTTGTGTGTGTGCTGACGTGTATAATAAACTCCTGAAAACTCTGTTCATTTCGCGTGGAATGTCTCGCGCTGGAATAACTAAGTAATCAGCGAAGCCAAGGGTGGTTATACCGAAGGCCGCGGTTGTGAGTGCGGGGCCTTTTAACTGCGCTGAACGTAACTGCAACGTATATGCACGCGGACGAGGGTGGCCTGCACGCGTCGCCCGTCGCGTGAGCCGGGAGTGTGAACGGGGCACGAGCCACGCCCGTGCACCCGTTTGAATGTCGCCGCCGCAGCAGCAAGAAATGATTGTCGGCTCTCACTTCTGTCACGGTGAAAGGACACAAGCCCGCGAGTGCGTGACCCGTTAGCTTTCAATGTCCTATATGCACGCATACCGTAAGTAATGAGCCTCTAATTAACTATTAGAACTTGACAGGTAGATAGATAGATAGATAGATAGATAGATAGATAGATAGATAGATAGATAGATAGATAGATAGATAGATAGATAGATAGATAGATAGATAGATAGATAGATAGATAGATAGATAGATAGATAGATAGATAGATAGATAAACAGACAGACAGAGAGACTGACAGACAGACAGACTGACAGACAGACAGACAGACAGACAGACAGACAGACAGACAGACAGACAGACAGACAGACAGACAGACAGATAGATAGATAGATAGATAGATAGATAGATAGATAGATAGATAGATAGATAGATAGATAGATAGATAGACAGATAGATAGATAGATAGATAGATAGATAGATAGATAGATAGATAGATAGATAGATAGATAGATAGATAGACAGACAGACAGACAGACAGACAGACAGACAGACAGACAGACAGACAGACAGACAGACAGACAGACAGACAGACAGACAGACAGACAGACAGACCGACAGACAGACAGACAGATTATCTATCTGATAGATAGACAGACAGACAGACAGACAGACAGACAGACAGACAGACAGACAGACAGACAGACAGATAGATAGATAGATAGATAGATAGATAGATAGATAGATAGATAGATAGATAGATAGATAGATAGATAGATAGATAGATAGATAGATAGATAGATAGATAGATAGATAGATAGATAGATAGATTTTTCCTCTGACCGGTAAAGAAAGAGAGATAGAAAGTTTAGCTGCTCACGGATTGAAATAACTGGTACTTCGACTTGCATATGGCTGCCAGTGTATGTAACGAGTACTTAAACGACTGTCCTCTTCTGCATGCGCACAGACTGTGCACACGCTGTATATTTCTAGAGTTCAAACAAGACGCGAGTTCGTAGATTGCGGAAGCTCTATTTGACGAAACGACGTATAACAAGAAATGCCGCTGACTTTCACCGTCTCTTTGCAGGGTCGCATATATATATATTTTTCACCCCTAGCGTTTTCGAGCTAAGCTTGTATCGACTCCCAAGTGTTGTTGGCGTCGCATATAGGTGTGAGTCATTCGCTATACGCCTATGCGTACGAAGCGTGGCTTCTCCACTAGGGGTGCTGGAGTAAGGTATATATCCGTATATAGTAACGCTATACCTAAAAAAAAAACAGGTGCTGCGCTGACTGAAAAAAAGTATTCTATTGGCGGAATGTTTGCTCCACTGACTTGGCTGTGTCGACGTATATGCGAGTCTGCGATTATTCATAAATGCGATCGATCGTGGCTTGATTGATGTCGTGCTCCACTTCATTCCCAACCCTTCGCGAAACGCGGAGAGGTAAAAGGCGAGCGGCACGCAATGTCGCACTCCATCTTGCCAACTTGATATGTAGAGGGCTTTAGAAATGGTGTTTCTAGGCGACTTTTCATATGCTAGCAGCAATACTCTGTTGTGTACACCAATTTCTCTCTTTTTAAATCTCATTTGCATTTATTTCTTTATGTGTGACGCTTTGCGTGTTCTATACTTCATGTTTGCGCACTTTAGAACTCTCTTTTTTTTAAATGCAGCGGAATAAACTGCGTAAGGCTAGGGTTCTTCTACTGGTCAGAGCAGATCGCAAAGTGCCGTGTAAATATACTAAACGGAACACTGGCGCTTATGGGAGCAGCAACTCACGGCTTTTCACCTTGCATGATAATGATGGGTAGTACACGGATTTGTTTAACCTCCGTACTTTCGGCTCCTTTTGGCTTCACGTGGCTTGGATCTGCTTTGTCACGAGCTGACAGTCAGCAAAGGTTTAGCAGTTTCGCTTCGCCACCTTAACCTTTTATGCTCACCAATTCAAATCAGGTCACGAAGTTCAAAACGGTATTTTTTTTTTCGAAACAAAACCAGAACACTGCAATAAACAAAGTCACAATTGCGTTTGAAGCCCGCAAGCTCGAAGACTATAGGCAAACCTATGTAC